TGGCAGTGTCTCATTAGGAGATTTGTCATTGAAGTCTTAAGACTAATCAGGGGCTTTCAGTGTGTGCCGCTGTTCAAGGGGAGCTTTCAGTGTTTCGTATGTAAAGCACAGCAGATTTAGTGTTGCATTTATCCTTTGAGATCCATTTATCAGTTATAGAGAGAGAAGGAAAACCCTGAGTAGAATAAAGCCTATTCTAGTCAATTTGTGCTAAATTATAAGGATTGCACCTTAAAGGCTTCCCTTTGTCTGCGGTTGGCAGATATTAAATGATGAGTTAATAACAGTATTTTATTATCTGTGCTGTTTTAATGAAAGGAGTTGTGCTTTTGGTGAGGCCTGTTTGTAGATTTTTATTTTGCATCCCTGTGGTTTAAGTTACTATGCTAGAGTAGAGCTGAATCTCTGGGAAGATGGGTGGCAGCAAAATTTGAAGTAAACAGTATGTACATGTGCCTATACTGAAGTGCATGTGACAACTCACTGTTCAAGCTTTGCTCTGGCTGCTACTAAAAGATAGTCTCATGGTTAGTTATCACTTCTGCTTGTTGCCATGCATTAACTGCCACTAAGAGGGCTCAATTGGCCACAGCACAGAAAAATCCTCCAAGTCAGAGCTGCCCTTTCTGCATCCAAGGGAAGCCTGCTTGGGTTCATTGTTGTTGCCCATAGTGAGAGGCCAAACACTCCATCATTTTCTTAGCCAAAAGGTAAGCTATTAAGCATTTTATTGCTGTCTGATTGCACATTTTGGACCTCCATTCCCACTATGTTAAACAGCCATATAATTTGGGAGTGCCACAGTAAGGTCTCACCAGAGCCTCCTCTTCTCCAGGCTGAACAACCACAGCTCTTAGCCTTTCTTCATAGTAGAAGTCTTCCAGCCCCCTGATCATTTTTGTGGCCCTCCTCTGAACCAGCTCTCAGTCTTTCTTGTATTGGGACCCCAGAGCTGGATGCAATACTCCAAATGGGGTCTAAACAGAGCAGAGTAGAGGGGTAGGATCCCCTCCCTTGACTGCTGGCCACACTGTTTCTTATGCAGCCCAGGACATGATTGGCTTTCAGGGCAGCAAGTGCACATTGCCAGCTCATGTAGATTTTTTCATCCACCAGCACCCCCAAGCCTTTCTTGGCAGGGCTTTTCAATCCATTCATCCTCAGCACCTTGCACTTGGCCTTGTTGAACCTCATGAGGTTCCTGGAGTTCAGCAGCTTGATGTCATCTGCAGCATCCACAGATGTGCATGGATTTAAATAAGTGTGTTTCTGCATCCTTGGATCCAACCTTTGCTGGTATATTTTAGTCAGCAGCTCTAGTATTTGAATTATACTTTGGCTGTCCATATCTGTAAAAGTAGTTGGAAATGTGGTAGATTGATCATCATCCTGCTGATGCAGTGCTGTAGGGAAGTGGTGTCTTGTTTACTTAGTGTGGCACCAGTTTGGCTCCAGCACCTGAGTATGCGTGACGAACTTTTGAACCTGCCGTATTGCCTGTGGGATTGATAGTTTTCTAAGTAAGTGAGCATTTGGGGTTTGCCTGGACATGATGTAATGACATAATTGCAGAGCCATTTGGCTTTTAACCACAAATATAGACCTTTTTTTAATGTACTCTATTTAGCTTAACAAAATAAAAAGATCTTAATCTTCAGTCTCTGCTACTCCATTAAGTATTAGAAGAATTGTAAGTTGATGAACTTACAATTGATAAAACTCCCCTGAAACTTAGTTTGCAGGAATGCTCGTGTTATTTTTAATTGTCTCCAGCAGGAGGCTTTTTATCTGGAAGGAATCCAGAGGTTTACCTTGTAGCCTGTGTTCAAATTCACATAGGCTGCTAGATAGTCTTAAAGGTTTCATGAAGTTCTTTTCCTCTGCAGTTGAAGACATCTGCACTCTGTGTGGCAAGATTGTGTTATAGTGATGATGTTTGTGTACAGCACAGCTAGATACAGGATGCAGTAGTTGACTAGTCACCTCTGCTGTTTAGCTGGAAGATCCAGTGCATGTCCCGTGTGTGTAGTGGGTTGACCTTGGCAATATCAGGTCCTCACCAAATGCCCTCTCTATCATTCTGCTCCCCAGATGGACGGGGGAGAGAAAATACAATGAAAGGCTTGTGGATCAAGATAAGGACAGGGAGAAATCACTCAGCACTTACCATCATGGGCAAAACAGACTCAGCTTGGGGAAATTACTTTAATTTATGGCCAATCAAATCAAAGTAGGGTAATGGTAAATAAAAATGAATCTTAAAACATCTTTTCCCCACTTCTCCCTTCTTCCTGGGCTTGACTTCACTCCCAGTTTTCTCTCTCTCCTCCCTCCAGTGGCACAGCGGGACAGGGAATGAGGGCTATGGTCAGTACATCACACATTGTCTCTGCTGCTCCTTCCTCCTCAAAGGGAGGACTCCTCATACTCTCCCCCTGTTCCAGCATGGGGTCCCTTCCACATGAGACGGTCCTCCATGAACCTCCCCAACGTGAATGCTTCCCAGGGGCTGCAGTTCTTCATGAACTGCTCCATTCAGGTCCCTCCCACGGGGTACAGTCCCTCAGGAACACATTGCTCCAGTGTGGGTCCCCTGTGGGGTCACAAGTCCTGCCAGCAAACCTGCTGCAGAGTGGGCTCCTCTCTCCATAGATCCTGCCAGATACCTGCTGCAGCATGGGCTTCCCGTGGGGTCACAGCCTCCTTCAGGCATCCACCTGATCCAGTGTGGGGTATTCCACAGGCTGCAGGTGAATCTTTGCACTCCCATTGTCCTCCATGGCCTGCAGGGGCACAGCTGCCTCACCACCATGGTCTGAACCACAGGCTGCAGGGGAACCTCTGCTCCAGTGCCTGAAGCACCTCCTACCCCTCCTTCTGCACTAACCTTGATGTCTGCAGGGCTTTTGCTCTCACGTATTCTCATCCCTCCCTCCAGCTGATGCTGCCTGGCAGTTGTTTTTTTCTCCCTTCTTTACTACATTATCCTGGAGGCACTGCCATCCTCACTGATGGGCTTGGTCTTGGCCCGTGGTGGGTCCGTCTTGGACCCGACTGGCATTGGCTCTGTCGGACATGGGGGAAGCTTCCAGCAACTTCTCACAGAAGCTGCCTCTGTAGCCTCCCTCCTACCCAAAAACTTTGCTGTGCAAACCTGATACAGTGTGCTAGCATTTAACAATTTTTTTCAGATAGTATTCATATCTTATTTGTGTTTCTCTAAAAGGGAAATGTTGTGCCCATATAACTGTGTCACAGAAGAAATGCATGTTATTATCACAAATTTGAAAAGTATTACAAAGTTTCAAAGTGGAGATTTAAAACTTAAAGTTTAATTTGATATCTACCGTCTGTGCGTAAACATACTGAAATTCACATGCTGGTTTAGAAAGATGTAATTGTCACTGGTCATGTTGAAAAAATAAATTGTAGGTACTTCTGCTGTTTATTGTGTATGAACAGAGCCTTACAACTCTATTAAAGTTGTGGTACAAATGATGGTTGATTTTGACTGCCTACATCATTTAGGCATTTAATGGTTTAATCTTACATTGCATTTAAGTTATAGATATTTATAATAAGAAATAAATATTGCTCAAGCAGTTAGTAATTTAAAAGTTGGGGAATACACTGTTCAAATGACCATAGGCCTTGGAGCTCAGGACAGTAGAAGCACTGCACAATGAAGGCAGCTTAATCACCTATAAGGTACAGGTTTAGTATGAGTCTGAATAAACAATTTCCAAATAATAGTAGAGAGGAGACTATTTAAAATCTCAATCACAGATCAGGGTAGCTTAAATTAGAGCAGAGCAGTTTTCCATCTGTAAGTAGTTTCTAGCAACAAATGGAGATTTGACTGGATCACGCTGTAGAATAAATTGTCTTAAGTTTTGGGGTTTTGTTTTGGTTTTGCTATGATAATGAGCTTGATGCCACTCATGGTATAAATTTTCAAGCAGCACCTTAAAAATAATGTAGATAAATTGCAGCTACCAATTACAGTGGGATGGAGAGAAATCTCAGGGTTTGTCAGATAAATATTTTACCTTGGTCTTATAAATACACACTCCTAGCTGCGGGTAGGAGATGTCTAGATGATTGAAAAGATGATTGCAGTTTGTATAGGAGGTGGAGGTGACTTTAGGTGTGTGACATGTCAGCATTTTAATTTCCTGTCTTTCCCAGTGATTATTGATCTGATTATTGATCAGGGTCAGACTATATGAATGTCTTTCCTTTTCCTAAGCAAAGTGGGGTAGCACAAGATCATTGTAGTAATTGGTTATGAAATAATTAACCAGTAGCATATATATATACACAGACACACACACACATACATATAAGTGGGTGTGTATATATATATTTGTGGAGCTTATCCCATCTCCACTACTATTTTGTCTTCTTTGCAGGTTTACAAATACAAATTTATATAAGGCAATACTTATTCCACATTTTATAGATGTTGCTTATATTAAGAGTGAAAAAACCATAATTTTTTATGGTATAAAATACCTCAAATTTCAGAAAGTAAAGATTTTACATGTCCTTGTTGTTCTATGAAAGAATTCTGATGGCCTCTATTCCCTGTGATTGAGGGCTGAAGGTCACTGCAGCAATCCCTTGTTTCTGGGGAGGGAGTTCAGTAGGGAGACCAAGACATGAGTGATGTTGAAAAATCCCCTGAATCTCACTCTCATCCCCCAAAAATACTCCCTCTGCAGTGGTCTTTGCAGGCTTGAACTGATGCAAGTTAAATACAAGTTGCTTAGATTTTTTTCAATGGAGAAGGCATGGCAGAAGCCACTTTCAGTCATGTCATTTCAATATGTTTCACTTTCAACAAACCTAGAGGTATGTTCTTTTGAAAGGAGCATGCTGGGAATTTCAGGAGGTTTTTGCATAAAAAACAGTTGTTCAAAATATGATTGATATTGCCATTTTAATTGTACCCACATTAGAGAAGATTATTTTTTCCTTTTTTCTTGGGCATCCCACAGGTCATAAATGTTGATGGAACAATGAGGAAAACCCTTCTAGAAGATAAACTTCCACATATATTTGGGTTCACACTGCTGGGAGATTACATCTACTGGACTGACTGGCAGAGACGAAGCATTGAAAGAGTTCACAAGATAAAGGCCAGCAGAGATATCATTATTGACCAGCTGCCAGATTTAATGGGCCTTAAAGCAACAAGTGTTACCAAAGTGTTTGGTAAGCATGAGCAATATAGGATGGGTCTGTAGGAGCTTCTAGGTGGGCTTGCTTTCATAAAGCAGCTGTTGATCACTTGTAATGAGAATAACTGTGGTCTGATTTGAATAATTTTAAAGGAAAATCACACCTATTATTTGTCAAGTTGGGAAAATACAGTGTTGCAAAAGAAGTGTGGCCTTCCAGTTTTTAGTGGACATAAGTCTTCCACAGCTTCCACTACACTCTTTGTATTTTTGTGAGAATTCTATTTTATCCCTGGGTTTACGCTATAGGAATCATTATTCTCACAGAAATGCTTCATTTTCTGTTGCTCTTTTCTTCCAGTGCAAAGTCCCAGTAAGCAGTTGAGTAAGGAGAATGCTTTTCACTATGTTGGGCAGTATAGGCAGAGTCAGTCACCATAACAATGTTGCCCCAAAGCATGTGACACATATATTAACTCTAATGCCTCAATTGTACCTAAATCTTAACAATTAAACCTTGCCTTTAGCATGGGATCAGCAGCTGGATCTCCTTGTTCTTCCACTGCATCTGCTGAAGGTGCAGCCAGTGTTTTAGGTCCTCTGCTGGCATTCTGCAGCAAGTATGTCACAGGACCTCCTGGCTTCAGTAACTCATGAGAGATGCATGTTCATCACAGATTTTTCTATTACGTGGAACACTGGAGTCTGGGCATAGCAGTAAACAGATTCATTGGTCAGCTGTTAAAATTACTGAGAATAGTCACAGTAGAATCACATAAAGTAGTTTGTCAAATTACACCCTGACAGTACATGGATTTCTAGCTTTTCAGGAAGCTGTACTTGAAGAATAATGAAGTCCTCAAGCTGCAAGTTATACTATCGGTCTGAAATATGTATGCCCTGAAAAGGGAAAATTAAAAGAAACCTAGTTGAGACTGATCTTGGAGATCTTTTTTATGTGTGGTAACAGTCTTTAAATACCTAAATCCTTGGTTCCAGCAGATGGAGAAAGACAGTCATTTATCTGTTGGTCCTTACTTTCTCCTCCACATTCCCTCCCCATCGCACAAAAAAATAGGTGTGAGATTGTGGTGATCTTGTTGGAACTGCTTCTGCTAATGAATCTTCTCAACTTTAAATTAAACATCTGGGAAATTAAACATCTGCAGTTATCCAGCTCCTTTCTCACCCTTTTGTATCACTGAACTTTTGTAAAAATTGGTGGTTTCAAAGAGATACAAAGATGGAGTACTTGGCCAAAAATAACCAACTAATTATCTGCCTTCAGTGACTGAATTTAATCTTTGGGGAGACAAGAAAGTTCTGTTTGTAGCTGGTATTTGTACAGTAGGAGGGATAGGTCCGGCTTCATTAGTCCTGGGTAGAAGGAAAGAATCCATTCGGAGTGGTTTATTTTTTTAGAATTCCCTGTTGACAACCCAGAGGCTTAACTTACTTTGAAAAATTATAGTGTTGCTGCTCACCCTCCCGTGCTTCTCTTTTCCCTCTACCTTCACAATGCATTTGTAACTGGTTTGGTTGGTTGGTTTGTTTTAAGGAACTAAATCAATGCACTAATATATGTTTTTGGTTTTATTTTGTTTTTTTTTAAGGAACTAATTCATGTGCAGAGAACAATGGAGGCTGCAGCCATTTGTGTTTCTTTACGCCCCAGGAGACCAGGTGTGCCTGTCCCATTGGCCTTGAGCTGTTGAGTGACATGAAGACTTGCATCATTCCTGAAGCCTTCTTAGTTTTCACAAGCAGAGCAGCAATTCATAGGATTTCCCTTGAAACCAATAATAATGATGTTGCTATTCCTCTTACTGGAGTCAAGGAAGCATCTGCTCTGGATTTTGATGTCTCTGATAACAGAATCTATTGGACTGATGTTAGTTTGAAGGTATTACTGACATGTGAATTCCTTGAGTATAAAGCCACAGAGCAGTTACTTTGATCTAACAAAGGTCTCCGTTACATGATCTATCCTGCAGTTGCTAGTGTTGTCATTGAATTGCATCCAAGGAGACCCTTGGAGATGAAGAGAGTTGCATTGCTGAATGCACAGTAGGATGACAGGCATCTTCCCACTTCAAATAAAAATCCAAAGTGGCGTCTGGTTGTACTGAATGCCTAAGTCTTGGATGCTGGATGTGTTGCAACCATATATGTATCTACTGTAGAAAAGCTGTTTTCATGTCACACAGTAGAGTCATTTGAACTTGGCAGCCCCCTGAGCTTTCTGTCCTTTTCCAGTTTTGACTTGAAAGAGAATTGTACTCAATATTAACATTTGGCAAGTGAACTTTGGATTGGTTGCTGTTAGTCTGTGGCTCCAGCTTGGCACAGAAAAGGCCAGGGAACTTGTCCAGTGTCCTCCACTCTATGTTAAGGGCCTGCCTGCCTCTAGTTCTATCTCTGTTCCCCAAAAGTTTGACACTTCCTGTGATATTTGGTTCACATCCACGTACGTGCTAAAGTATGTTGTGCTCTTCATCAGTGTTACTTTGCTTTTTAAAGTGAATTAAGTAGTGGTAGAAAATTACAGATTCACTTTACTGTAACTAAATTCTTCTATTTAGCCTCTTAATAGGTTTTCCAAGAGCAATCAAAGTTTCCTTGCCAATGTGCCCAAGCCATAATATGGAAAAGGTCAATTTTAAAGCCTGAAGGGCTTGTGCAGTTTCCACAGCCTCTCTCTGAGGTCTAATGAGGGCTGTGCTTCAGTGGTAACAATACCGGTTTTGCTGTGGGTACCTTTCTTTTGGGAAGAGTGCCAGTGTAAATTAGTGTAGTGCAGACACAGTTACTAAATAAATCTCACATAAGGATGTGGAGAACAGAAGTTATGGTCATCTTAACCATTTGTAGTGGAAAACACATTACTTCACCTGCATAAGTATGTAGATCCCAGTCTCACACTGTGCAGAACTGGAAAACATTTTACTTGTTTTTAGTGCCCTGAATTATCTAGCATACTGTATTTTCACATATCAGGTCTGTTTCAGCACCTCTGGGTTCTCATTCCCTCACGTCCCCCACATCCTGCTGCTTAGCAGCAGGTATTATAACTTCAGAACCCATAGTCATCTCCCTTTCCTTTGGTGACCGCCACTTCCCTGATCTCCTCCAGCCTCTGGTTATATGAGGATGCATTTTCAAAAACTATACCACATGATTTCTGGTTTTGACATTTACCTTTAAAAATATAAAATGCCTCTTACCCTTATACATTCGTTTATCAAATTATTAAGAAATCAATAGCTGAATTGTTGGCAGGCATGTAGAACAATTGCTCAGTGTTGATAACACAGGTGGATAATTGGTCCTGCAAGTTACCATTTACCTGACTGTTGTTTCAGTGCTCCTTGTTCAGAGGGACTTATTTATATGTGTGCAGTCCTTGCCCTATGACTTGTTTTGATGAGTGTGCATAACTAAAATGTAGATGGCATCAGGAAATGTGCTCCAGGTGACTGGTTACGAGAAACAACTGAATTTAGATGTCTCCAAGCTGAGATGTGTTTCTAAGACATAAAACATTACAGTGAATTAAATAATTTTAAAAACAGCTTCTTGTGTGCAAATAGAAGAGAAGGAGAAGGGTCAAGGAAGAATCTGCAGCTGCATACTGCTTTCTGAAAATCATACCCCTTTAAAATGTCTTGATCTGGTCATGAGAAACCAGTAGCTTTCTGAAAATTCAGGTGTTTTTTGTCCTGAGAACTTCTGTATCTTTTTTGACTGTGTAAATTAATTTTTTAAAATGTAAAATGGCTGATTTTTTTTACTAATTTTTTTTGTACACTAAACTTTGTAATTGTTATTCCTTTTTATTGCAGTTGGATATCTGTAAATGCTGTAATATTTTTACACAATTGTTTTTCAGACCATAAGCCGAGCTTTCATGAATGGGAGCTCTGTTGAACATGTGATTGAGTTTGGGCTAGATTATCCTGAGGGAATGGCTGTAGACTGGATGGGGAAGAACCTCTACTGGGCAGATACTGGGACCAATCGTATTGAAGTAGCCCGCCTGGATGGACAGTATAGGCAGGTCCTTGTGTGGAAGGACTTGGACAACCCGAGGTCTCTGGCTCTTGATCCTACTAAAGGGTAAGGGACAGTGTTGTTTTTCAAAGCTTTGTGTGCATATTCTTGTATGTGGCAAGTTATTTGGCAGCTTATACAGCTCCATTTCTTCAGAGTCTTTGGAAAGACAATAAACATTCCACAATCCCATGGGTTACAATGAAAAATTAATAATTGTCAAAAATATTATTCTGCCTTTCTCTTAAAAAGGAATATTGTGATACTGCACATAATCACATGGGTTGTGGGGTTTCTTTTAAGAGCTGAAGAAAAAATTTAGAGAAGTCAAAGCATGCAGCTAAACACAATCATACTTAGCTGATATGCTCTTTTTGTTCCACTTCTCATTGCAGATACATGTACTGGACTGAGTGGGGAGGAAAACCAAGGATTGTTCGAGCGTTTATGGATGGAACAAACAGCATCACTTTGGTGGACAAAGTGGGTCGTGCCAATGACCTCACTATTGATTATGTGGACCAAAGGCTCTATTGGACTGACTTGGACACAAGCATGATTGAGTCATCAAATATGCTCGGTAATCTAGTGTTACAGTACACCAGCCAGTACAGAAATATGCACTGACAGTAGGAAAGCAATTGAATAATATGAAATTTGAACAATATAACTGATATTAAATCTGTGTGTGAGGCTCACCTGTCTGTAGTTCCTTGGGTCTTCCTTTTTATCTGTTTAAAAATAGGAGTGATGTTTCTGTTTTTCCAGTCACTGTCAGCTTCATGGCTTTTCCTTTTTCCTGGAGAGTGGCTTGCCAGCCACATCAGCCAGTTGCCACAGGACCCTGGGATGCATCTGATCAGTCCCCATAGACTTGTGCCTATTCAGTTTTATCATGTTGTTCAATGTCTTTTTAATTAGCAGGTTATAAAGACGCAGGTAGACTTTCTAGCAAGTGAGCTCATCAGTTAAGATGATGTTATTAGATTTGGCCTTTGGTATGCAGTGCCAAGGTCCTAGCCAGGATAGATCTAAATGAGTGTTGCTGATAGAAACATCTACCCCACCAGAGATGAATAAAGCATCCCTAAGTGGATGAATGAATGTTCTTCCAGCTTAATCTTGGACATTAATAACATTACCCAGCAGGAGAACAATCACTCTTCGGGGAGATTTTCCTCCTTCTACTGACTGTGAAAATTGAATTATGCAGCTACCCCCTTCCTTCAGAAGAGTCTTTCCCCTAAATTTGTTACTGTGGACCAGAATTGCTCTAAGAAGTACCTGAGAGTGTGCATGGTATCTGTACCGCTAACATGGAAAATTCAAATTCCTAAAAGTTACCTGGGGAGGTTTCCCCCTCTATATTTAGTTCTGGTGGTTTGCAGGGAAATGGATTCATGTTCTGGTTTATGGTTTTTTTATTCTTTCTCAAGTCTTAGTCAAAGGGAAGAAAAATGAGGTATTCTGTAGAATCTAGCATTGGACGTTTGAAACAGGAGGAGATGATGCTGATAAAGGCTACATCTTCATTTGGTGTCAGAGATTCGCAGTGGTTTATGCTTGAAAATGTTAAGGAAGGCAGTTTACAGTAAGACTTTACACAGTAATGTATCTGCTCTAGAAGGTGTTAAATCTTTTGTGAATGTTGTGAACTGAGCCACTGAGTATGGGAGTATTGAGACTTCTGCCAAACAAATGGTTTCCTAAAGTCTCGGGATAGCTGTATGTTAAATTGCACCATGAAAGATTTGTTTCTTGAGTGAAACACCATAATTTCTTGTAGCTGTTTCACTGTGAATCTCAAATTTTGTTGCTTTCATACATAATAATTTATTGGCCTAAGTGATTATTGGAGCTGATGGTATTCTTGAATGTGTTTTCCAATGTCCATTTGGGACAACAAGCGTGAGACATATAAAGTAGTATTTGTTTAAATTACAATACACTGACACAGTTTAAAATTGTTCTGTAGGCAAGAGGGTATCAGGATAAGGTTTTTGAATGAAACTGTTTACATTGTCTCTTGAGCAGATACTGCTTGATAAAGAATCCCATGATGCTGATTTGGGAAATGAGGTTTTATTTTTAAAAGAAGAAAACAATTTTTCTTAATGCCAGTCACACTCTTCATTTTATATCATGGGAATTGTCCTTTAGTTGATTATTCTTCTTTTTGCAGGACAAGAACGAGAAATCATAGCAGATGATCTACCTCATCCATTTGGATTGACCCAATACAGTGACTACATCTACTGGACAGACTGGAACCTTCACAGCATAGAAAGAGCAGACAAGACCAGTGGGAAGAACAGGACACTTATTCAGGGCCATCTGGACTTTGTGATGGATATATTGGTCTTCCATTCTTCACGTCAGGATGGCTTGAATGATTGTGTGCAAAATAATGGCCACTGTGGTCATTTGTGCCTTGCCATACCAAATGGATTTAGGTGTGGCTGTGCTGCTCATTATACCTTGGATCCCAACAGCAGGAACTGTAGTTGTAAGGCTTTTTCTTTGCTACTATATTCTACAGTGCTTTTGGCTCCCAAGTGTTTAACGGGATGGGATCACAAGTCCATTTCAAAGGTTCTGACTTTAGAAGTGATCTTTAAATGTGAGGATAGAGTATGGAATTTTATAGCCATTTTTGTGAGCTAGGATGAAGATATGTATTTCAGATCTTAGAACTGACAGCGCTGTCAAATCTGGTCTTTCTTGTTTTACCAGAAGTGCTTTCTAGGTGATTCAGCTATGTGATTGAAGCTTTCCCACTCCTTACCTAAGTGTGTAGGTGCGTGGAAGAGAAATTATCAACAAAAAATGTCTTTTTCTCCTAAGTGTTCAATAAAGTCAGCAAAAATATCATGCAGTAAAACTCCTAAGTAGTCTGCACAACATGCAGATGCAGTTGAAATTCATATAAATTTGTTTTCTCCCTCTGTGTGATATTACAAGCCTGCTGGTTGACTGGTTGTCCAATACAAATTTAAGTTTCTAGTAAAAATAGCAGATTAATAGGAAATGGACTGTTGATTTTAAAAAAATAAACCAACAAAGCTTTGGGCATCCTGCACAGTAGCATATAAGGAAATTTTAACTGGGTGACTTTTTGGAAGGCAGGTCCTGCAGACTAACCTGGTCTCCTTCTATAACAAAGCGACCCACTCAGTGGATTAGAGAAAGGCTGTGGATGTTGTCTACCTGGATTTTAGTAAAGCCTTTGGCACTGTGTCCCACAGCATTCTCCTGGAGAAACTGGCTCCTTATGGCTTGGACCTGTGCGCTGTATTGCCCACAGTCACTGGTGTTACTTAAATTCCACATGGGGAACACAGTTACTTTATAGTATGAAAAGGAAATACTTTCTGGTTGAGGATGTGCATATTTACCTTCTGGAAGTACGCAAAGAAACATTTTCAACTTAATAGCAAAAATGTCCAGTTTTATGAGTTATCTTAATTTTCATTGTAAATATAAGTGTCTCTCTGGGATTTTGTTCTAAATATTCTTTGTCTTTCATGGGGATATATTTTTGTGACTTGCATTTTCTTATGCATTCTGTTTTGGCTTGTTTCAGCCCCTGCCAGTTTCCTGTTATTTAGCCAGAAATCTGCCATCAGCCGGATGATACCAGATGATCAGCAAAGTCCAGATATCATCCTACCTATGCATGGTCTGAGGAACGTCAAGGCTATTGATTATGATCCTTTAGATAAATTGATCTATTGGGTGGATGGACGTCAGAATATTATAAAAAGAGCCAAAGATGATGGCACTCAGGCAAGTTTACATCTTGTATATAATTTTGGGTTGGTCTTTATGCTTGACCTTCCCCTTCTATTCTCTGCACCAAGGGATCATAATTTTAAACTCTTATCAACATTTATTCGTGTATATTCTATTTTGGGATTGTGATTTCAATTTATACATGAAGAAGTGAGACAGAATAGAGTACATTATATGTAGAAATTATAAGCCTTGAATTGCAATCTTTAGTTAGGGATGGGCACTCAAGTAAGGCAGACTCTCTATTTATACTTGGGACAGATAAACCATATTGTAAAATCAGTAATGTGGATGCCAGTTTTGAGATAATGTTATCATCATTGTAAAGCTCTTTCCGAATGAAAATCCTCAGCTATCCAAGCTGTAGTTAAACCCTGAGCTAATGATGGATTGATTGCTGTGCCAGATATATGTGCATGGCTTATCCACATACTTAATGGTTTTCCAGTGTTGGGGACATTACTTTTTTGCACTCGATATTCACACAACAGTGGTAAGGAGTGCAGTGTTCTTCCAGGCAGTGTTATCTGTTAACATAATATAATTTCCAGTTCAAGGTAACAGATTCTTTAAAAATTATTGTCTGAATAAAAATATAAAACAAAGTGGAGAATGGGCAAGTTATCTTTTCCTATTTCTTGGGCAGTTGTATCTAAACTGTATGACATGATATCAAAGGAAATGGACTGGTCTGTTCATGCACCTAGCAACTCAGAGGGTTTACAGTTTCCTTTAAAGGTAGAGATGACAGCTTTGTTTTTTGGCCATTTCTTTTAAGATCAGGAGTAAATATGTTGAGATGAGCAGCTGGGTTCTGGATGAATTTTGAAGTTTTGCTCTTGCTTTTTTTATGCTAGGTGCTCGTTTTTCTAGTGTAGCTTCTCTTTGGTAATTCTAGGTTCAAATAGCAGTGGAAATTTATTTCCTTTGTGGTTTCTTTTACCTTGGCCACATAGCTTTGAAGACACAGATATGCCCTGAAAATTTTGACTTTTGAATCCTCACTAAATATACTTACTTAGTTTACTAAGTCGTGCATATAAATTTCATACCTGGTTAATGTTACCTTTGGTTTCAGGAAAAGAATGATTTCTTTTTATTGCTAGGCATACTGTCAGTACAAAATAGGGTTAAAGCTTTATGTAAAAATAAACCCCCCTGTATATCACTGTGCTTAAAATGAAATTGTGGAAATATAACTTTTCACAAGTGATGCTGTGTTGGGTGCTTCATTTGACTTAAGCTGAGCACGGAATGGTGTCTTCAGCTTTCTTGGTCCGTATGAACTCTTTCTGGTACTCTTTTTGTGTTTGGATTGGGAGCACCGCATTAAGACACTTAAGGAAACCACCACTTTCCCCTCACCAATATTATGTCACCAGAGGCAGTCATCTTTGAAGACTACTTTGATGCTGGGAGTCCAGCTGCCGGTATCACTATTCCCATGGCATTGGGATTGGCTTCATGCTAGTGGAGCCTGTGTGATGTTAAACAGAGACATTTTTTCCTTTCAGGAATTTTTCTCTATGCTCTAGTGCTCTTCAGAGAAATAAAGTATTGAAGTCTGTGTTAGTATTCACAGTTGAATACTATGTTGAAAAGTATAGTGAATTGTATCTGAGTTAGATTGGAAGGGTTTGAGGGTAATGACTCCAGAAACTTTGCAATAATGTCAAGTTTTGTAAGCTCTATGAAGACATGAGAGTGAAAGCAGGTAATGTTGTTAGTAGAGGGTGAGGCAGAAGTGTAGCCATTTAACATGTAAGCAAACAGAACCAAGTTTTGTTAAAAGATTTTAGGTTTTAAGAGAAGATGGGACTTGAAGAAAATAAGTATCTACTACACTACAAATAATGAAGGAAGGAGGGTTTGGCAAGAGATAGAGATTAGTTAACTGACTCTATAGCAGTGCAGATCTGTCCAGAAGGCTCCCTGGTTTCTTGCATTGGTTCATTCAAGCTCGTTCCATGCATAAACATTCACTAATGGTTTATGTGCTTATTGGGGGTTGTGACTAGATGATCTTTCAGGTCCATTCCAACCCCTTAACATGCTATGATTTTATCATTCATATGTCTCCTGGTAATAAATAATACTTACAGAAGTCCCCATAACCACCTTCTGGGGAGTTTTGTGTAATCTTACGGATTTTGTCCAGATGTTTTCCCTCTAATCCACAGTTTGAATCAAACCCATTTTTATTAAGCATTATTTCACTCCTTATATTTGTTTCCTTTTGGTTGGTTTTAGGTGTTTCTGAACCATTAGGTCAGTAAACCATGCTTTCTGTGCAATCAGTGTTCTTCAGTCAAAAATCAGAATAATCACAGGAAATTGTTCCCCATGTGTTGTCTTGCAGCCTTTCACTGTGATGAGTACTCCAAACCAAAGTCAGAACCCGGAGAAGCAGCCACATGACCTCAGCATCGATATATACAGCCATACCTTGTACTGGACCTGTGAGGCCACAAATTCAGTCAATGTCCACAGGCTGAACGGCGAGTCAATCGGGATGGTGCTGCGAGGGGACCACGACAGGCCCAGAGCCATTGTAGTGAATGCAGAGCGAGGGTGAGATTTCTTTCTGTACCACGTACAGAGCACTCTTGGGATGTATGTCAGCTCTGTGTGTGTGAATCTTGCGCTGCATCTAAGTATTTTTAAAAGGAGAATTTCTGAATATTTAATTGTTCAGGATGTAGGTGCTTGTCCGATTTCGGCTTTTGAAGGTATGCAGCTTTCTCTTCCTTTTGTCTCCTTTTCTGGCGTTCACACAGCCATGTGTGAGCAACTAACCTGGATGGGGAAAGCAAAGTAAAACCACCTTATCCTGTTCTCTGTGTGAATGCACAGCCCTGCCACCTAATGGGAAAAATAAGAGAGTTTACATTGTGTCTGTATCAACTGGGAGTCTGGCACTTGGTCATCATAAAAAAATTGTTTCCAGGGGGGAAAAGAAGGAACTTCTCATATGATGCAACTAATTCCTGCTAATCTAGTACTCTAACATTTAAACAAACACTTAAGCTGCTTGTGTTCTGTACATTTTTATAGTTAGTTCTACCTTGATGTTATCTTAAAAACTTCTGAAACACGTAGGATGCACCAGAGTGATTTTCCACAAGAAGAAAATATTTTGTTTTGCTGCAAAGCAGTTTTGGTTAGATTCAGCAGATGCCATCTCCACTTCTGGTGCTTAGTAACTTCATTCTTAGGTGTCAGACATGGTCCTTTACCATTCTCTTTAATAAGTTAGGTGCTTAAATCCCAATTTACTAAATGGCTTACCATGTGCTTGGCAGATATTGGATGACAATATTTCACAACTGTGTGGATACAACAGTACCTACAGACTCTTATCTGGAGCATTTATAGGACTGGTATTTTATACCAGTGTGCTCTGCACAGTTCAAAAGCTGTTGTGGGGAGAGGGGGATTAGAGGAAAGATTCTAATCTTATTGAGACTAAGTCACTTGGATATAGTTTGTATTTATAAAAGCTTATCTGCTTTCTCCATTAAAATGGGAATTTGGGTTTGTTGATCTCTAGAACCCTCAACTTTTGTAGTCAGGTTTTCAAATGATTTAAAGCTAAATCCATTTATAAATTAAAGGAATAAAAATGAAGGAGAGGCTATGCTAAACACTCTGACTGTCTGGGGGAGCTGAATGAGTGAACGGTGTATTGAAGAACTTCTGCTATGGTCCCAGAAATCCTTCCTTCCACCTCTCCCTTGGCTGCATGTTCTGACTGCTGCCTTCCCTCCTTGTGCCATAACAAAAGGCTATGCAGCAATATAGCCCACTGTATTAGAGAATTTGCCCATGTTGTTCACCACTGAAAATATAGTGGACTTTTCCCTTAGAGAGTTTTCAGTTCATTATATGGATGCACAAGCCTTTTTTTCAGGGCAGAGACTGCTTTTGTTTGCAACTTAGCCAGATATAAAGAATTTATGGAACTAAGACATCAGGAACATGCCATCCTCAGTTGTTCTTCTGTGACCTTTGTTCCTCTCAGGTTTGGTAGAAACTTCTACTTGCTGAGAAGGAAGGTGACACGGAAGGAAGACGAGGTGGACATTAATTTTTTTTTGTCTTCTGGACTTTGATTCAGAAATGGGGACAGCTTTACCCAAGGAGAGTTGCAGAAAGTCTGTGCTTGTCTCTTACAACCCCCACCTCCGGGCAGGAGCAGTGCTGTCAGCACAGCAGTGCTGAGGCGTTTTATGGCCTGGTGACAAATTCTATTACTTTCAGGCTTTCTCAGTGTGTCAGTTAGCAAATGTTTGGTTCTGCAGCTGACAGATCTGGATCTTTGCAGCTGGGAGCAAAGTCACCCAAGTCATACCTGTGAAACCATTCCCACTTACATCGCAGAGCCTGTGCGCAGAGGTGGGTTGCCTCTCTCTGAAGCTCTCAGTCAAGAGGTTGGTGTCTTTGTTTTCAGGTACATGTACTTCACCAACATGCAGGAGCGAGCCCCCAAGATTGAGCGTGCAGCCCTTGATGGCACAGAGAGAGAAGTGCTTTTTACAACTGGGTTGATCCGACCAGTAGCGCTGGTGGTTGACAACAAACTTGGAAAGCTTTTCTGGGTGGATGCAGATCTGAAGCGCATTGAAAGCTGTGACCTGTCAGGTATGTGGTATGAGGTTAAACATTTGCAGCAAAGTGTTTGCATGCATAGGACATCATTCCCACTTTGATGCTGACTCTGGTAACTTTCATCTCCACTATTGCCAGTTCTGAGTAGACAGTCACAGACAGTAATTGCTGGTGGACTCCCGTCTTTGATATAATTGGAATAAATGTCTGTAATAATTGACACCCTCCAAGAGAACCATTTGACTTTTTTTGTGTTCTGAAAGCAATTCTTGCAAGATCAGATTTAAATTGATGTTGCCAGTCATGGAACCACTAAATCACCTCCCCCATACCCTTTTTTTTTCCCTTATGGTTTGAAAAGTTTGCATACTCTTCAGTTTTTCTTTCTCTGGAGTTTACAGCTTAGTAAATCAAGGTAGCTTGAAAAAAACAGAAGAAAGTCAATGTTTTTTTCTAATTTTTTTCTTTTAGTTTAAAATCATCACCCTTGTCCTATCACTGTCTGCCCATGTAAAAAGTCAGTTTCCCTCTTTTTTTTAAGTACTGTGAAGGGCCACTATGAGGTCTCCCCAGAGCCTTTTCTTCTCCAAGCTGAACAACCCCAGCTCTCTCAGTCTGCTTTTGGACCTGCTAACAGGTCTATGTCTTACTTTGCAGGTGGTAATTTTATGTGCAAAACTAACAGGACCCGTTAATGTTACATTCTCATGCTTGGCTGAGCTCTAGATAATTTATGCAGCAAATTAGTTGAATCCAGTTCTTATAGCATTTTTATTATCTATCTAGATTCTGTAATCTCATTTTGTGCAGATATTAAAAACTTACATCTTTTAAATGCAAGCAGACATAAGGTCTTAATTCCAAAATGAAATATGAGAGCAGAAGCACCACTAATTTAGGATTTTGTTTTGATTTTTCATTTTTAAAATCAAATAGATCCAGTTATATAGGCATACATAGGGTCAAAATGGTTTCTGTGAATTAATAGAATAATTTGGAATCTCTTGTTCGCCCCAGAAAATCATAACAAAAACAATTAAATGCCAGTAAGTGTAGTGTATCATGCAGTTTAAGACTACAAATAATTAAAGTAAAAAGCAGTAATAAATGCATTTTTACTTGACCTGACTTTTACACATTGGCTTAGAGCATATTTTTACATATTTCTGTAAAGCAGAAAACCTGAACATTTTATATTGTTCCTATTTAAGAGCATACTGAGTTAGAGTTTGGGTTTTCTGGTTGGTTACTGAATAAAAAGGAGAAGGTGAAGAAAGAAGTGTGGCTGGTAGAATATGAGCTTTTGAGTTGTGATCATGTGTCTGTGGTTGTCACATAACCTATGACGAGGCTCTTGCTTTGCATGAGGGGTGTGTTTTATTTGAGTAATGGCACTAATTGGTTGTATTTCACTCTTTCTTGTAGATTCCAACAAAATTAACTGCTCAGTGTGTGAATGTATTGTAAAAATTTTGGCCTAAGAGTTGAGCCTGTATCAGCTTTTAGGGATGGCCCACAGTTGCACATAACAGAACACGTCAGCGTGAGGCTGATCGTGGCTGGCTGAACAGCCATGCAAGGATGAGCTGTGTTTTGTGTTGTATCTGCTTGCCCTCATGACTTGGCAGCTGGTTGCATTTACCTCAGATGAGACTGAACAAGCAGAACTTTAGTCTGCATAGACAAATGAAGGCAATGACCTTATAGCTAACTATTTGAAAGGTTTGGTTTGGTTTTGGTTGGGTTGTTATTTTGTGATTTTTTTTTTTTTAAAGAAATTACTTAAAAGTCAACTGGTGTAAAACTGGCCTTTGTTTTTGTTGATCTTAGGTGCTAACCGTGTGACCCTAGAGGACTCCAACATCCTTCAGCCCATGGGACTCACTGTGCTGGGGAATCACTTGTATTGGATTGATCGTCAGCAACAAATGATTGAGAGAGTGGAGAAAGTGAATGGGTACAAAAGGACTAGAATTCAAGGCCGGATTGCTCACCTAACAGGCATTCATGCTGTGGAAGAGCTTGATATGGAAGAATTCTGTGAGTTTATTTCAGTATTTGATGTGTCTCTGTCTTGGTCGTTGTCTCTCAAAATCCTCATCCACCTGAATATTTTAATAATGTTGCCTAGTGGGCTTCTAGTAAGCCATGGAGTGCTTTCATCTTGTCCAGTCGGGATTCTAGAAGAGGAGGAGGAACAAGTTCCTTGTTCTTGTTGAGAGGAGTATTGCTGCACAGCTAGAATACGTGACATCGTAGCACTTAGTTACAGTCTAAAAGCTAATTATAATTATGGTTGTTAATTTTGTAAGTACCAAGTAATAAGTCTTGGAAAAACCTGTTATAAGAGACAAAAGGATTGTACTTGCCTTTTCTCCAGGGGTTTCAGACTCCTGTGTAAAGTATGACTGGTTTGACTCGGCACAATGGATGATGTAAAAAGCCTCCAGCGAGGGAGGGAGAATGGGAAGGAAACTCCTACGGTGAATTGTACCGTGGATGTAGAATTTCCCAACAGAGGTGGAACATTTTAGGTGCTCCCTTCTGAAAGGGGTCATGCATGCAGGATGGTTCTTTTTCTGGATTAGTAGTCCAAGTTACTGTGGTCTGAGGGAGAGTACAGAAACCTCTTAAAGTAGTCAGTCCTCAAAGTGACAACCTACAGCTCCTCCTGCTTAACAGGAATATAAAAGAATCACAAACAAAATGTGGGAGGAAGAGGTCTCTTTCAACTTGGTTGCCTGTGATGAGTTGTCTTATATAGGGAGTGTACATTTGTGTATAGTGCTTCAATTTTCAGAGGAAATTATTCCATTTCACAACAAACACTGTGTCACATACATTACTGTCTGTAATGGCTGAAATTACCTGAACTTGCATATGTGGGTAAGCTGTTACAAATAAGGTAGTGTAAATATTTCAACTGTCGTAGATTCTATGTGCTAATCATGACCCAGATGTTCTTTCTTTCGCAATACTCAGTTTTTCTTCTTCTGTGCCATTTCTCATGATTTTTGTATATTTCAGAAGTATTACTGAATGAAGCAAGAATTTTTTTCTTTAATTCTCAATACTCTTTAAAAAAGAGTTTTACTTTTACCTCATGTGTTCATTTAAAATGAGGATTTTTGGTTTGGGGTTTTTTTTTAATGGTAAAGGAATCCTGTTTTGCAGCTGAAAACTCTTCTATGTAGGTATTTTCTTTTGCAACAGGGGAGTAAAAATACATATGCACATGTAAGTGTACATGCATGCACTTCTTCTGTGAGCAAGTCATGAATCAAACACTGTTTTAAATTAATAAGTGTAGGTGAAAGCAGGTTGCTGAGAAGCCTGGACAGATGCAAAACAACTTCGGCAGAGAAATTATGTTATCTATACTGTTTCTTCCCCATGGAAATTCTTAGCAGTAGTAAAGAATGCATTGTTCAGCATCATCACAAATAACACAGGGTATCACCTCACAGATTGCTCCAGCAGATGCTCAGCTGTCAGCCTGAATAAGCAGGCAAGAGACTGGGTCTCTTTGTACTCTGTTGGGCTGGGGTTGTCAGACAGTGACCTCCCTTCTCTGTGCCTGTTTCTTATCCACCTAATGTTCATTTAAAATGATTCTATCAGGAGCTCTCATGTGCCCAGTGCTTCTGGGTAACTGATTGGGAACACAACCATGTAGCTTCCTATCTTTAAAATAATAAACTATGTGTGCCTATATTGCAGTTTTTTGAGTTGCAGGGAAGTTGAGGCACTGCATATTAAAGGAGAGTTGCTGGTGGGTTTAGGAGTTGCATTCTGCAGTGACTTATGTTAATTCTTGATGCCCACCCTAGAAATGCAGGTGGAATGTCTAGGTACGATGTAAATGCAGCCTTCTCAAATCTGCCTTTTCATTTCTCTTCACCTCAGCTCTCAAATTCTTTCCAAAAGTCCTTTAGAGGTCAACATATCATAGAATCATAGAATGATTTGGTTTGGAAGGGACTTTGTAAAGGTCATCTAGTTCCGACCCCCCTGCAATGGGCAAGGACATCTTCAACTCGATCAGGTTGCTCATATCACTATGAGTTGAAGAAATGGAGTCTTTATGAAGTAGTAGATCAGCTTTTGAGCAGTGAACTGAAAAATCCTGCATTTATCTTTCTAATAATTTCTAGTAAAATCTTGGTTACTCAAACAGAAGTGATTTTTGTGTGGTTTTTGATTTTCCCCAAGCTAGGAATAGTTATAATTTCTTTTATGCTATGTAATATTCTTTTCTGTGTGTTTCACCAGCTGTGCATCCATGCTCCCGTGACAATGGTGGATGTTCACACATCTGCATTGCCAAAGGAGATGGAACTCCAAGATGTTCATGCCCCGAGCACCTTGTGCTTCTACAGAATCTCTTAACATGTGGAGGTGAGCTATATTTTAGTGCTGCTAATCAATTTGTATCAAAAATATGGGAGTTGATTTTTGCATTCCTATCCAAAATGTGAATTTACATGCAGTTTTCCTATACGTGTTGTGTTGCCTCTTGTTAAGTTACCTTTGATTCTCCTACCAGCTGTTTTCTACTTCAGGTTTTGGGAATATGTGACTTTTCATTGTGAGCACAATATTCTTGTTTGACCTTAAAATACTTTTATCTTCTACTGAGATTTTTATAATTGTATGATGTGACAGGTTTGTACTTAAGTAAGTGCTTATAAGATGATGTTGCCTCAACCCATGATGACCTAGCAGCAGAAACTGTGCATATGATTCCCACAGTATGATACTTCAGTCTTTCAAATTAATTTGGCTGCATAACACAAAACACTGTACTAACTAGTTCTAAAATGTAGGCTCCATTGCAATTCTTTTTAATTAGGATAGCTCTCCTCTTTCCACATGGTAGACATTTCCTCTAGCTTTCCATTTCACAATCTCAGGATTTTTGAAAATTGTTAACATTACACTTGCAGGGGGGATTCAAAACAAAACAAAACATTGTTTCTTTTTGGGAGGCATTAAATCTTAAATCATTTGGCTCTGTTGGTCCTCTTGACTTCTTTCCATGTATTTATTTTGCTGTGGATTTCATTTTCTGGCTGAACTCTGACCTCTCATGGGACAGTTATTTCCATGATAAACTGTTTTCTTTCCCATGACCACAACACACCATGTGGTTTTGGACTAGTGGTGGTTACATAGGGGAGGCAGGGCAGATCAATCTAATTATACTTCTTGCTGTAGTGTTGTTGCACAACAAGGCCAGCAAGAGACTATTACATTCCACCCCTTTGTATCTTCAGCTATAAATCTAAAAATTCAAGGACCTCCATTTCAGTGTCTGTTTTTTTTTATTCTAATCATTCACTAAGCCTGCAACAACTTTTTAGCCTGTTTTGTCTGCCCTAGTAACAGCCAGTAGCCAGTGTTTCAAAATAACTTAGCTTTTTGGCTGGAGAACATTTGTCCATGTACTCTTATGAATACTTTTGTCATGTTTTTAAATGTAAGCTTGTGCTTGCCAAGTATAACCATAATGCAACATTAAATGTGGATGCAGAAGTAGTAATCTGTCTGTTGAATTACCTAAACAGCACACTCATATCAAAATTTAATTCAAGAATTATCTTAATATGTGTATCCTGCATCTTTATGTTACCTACAGCCATCAGGCTATATTTGTAGTTCTTATATTGCTACTCCAAATAATCATAAATGACGAACTTAAAAAATTGTAATTTTTTTCAAAAACCAAGAACGTTTGTATTTTTACTTGCGTTTTGTTTTTCAAGCTCTTGATTATACTTGAGTCTTGTTCTTGAGCATTTCTCCCTAATGAAGGAAGGACACCAGCACTTCAAAAATTGCTTGCATGTAAATGCATAATTCTAGCATTTTTAACACTACCCTCAGAAGTAAAAATACTCATACAAAAGTCTTGCCATTGGTTACATCTAAGAAACTTTCTTTATGGTGTGTTCTTTGTCAAGTCCATTCTTGACCCTGAATCTTAACAAAAGCTCATTGGGTTTTCAGAGGAGTGCTGCCATTCGGTGTCAGAGCACATGTCCATCTTGCTCATATTGTTGTCACAGAGAGGGTATGATGTGGTACTTTGTTAATCCAAGTGGTAAAGCATCTACTTAGAGCATTGTTGGCAACAGCAGCTGTGGGACTAGTGACTGCCTCTGTTAACTGCTTCAGTTACATCACAGGGTTTGGACCCAGCGACTTTTGAAAGCAGTGGAAGTGTGTCTGTTTGCAGCAGGGGTATATTTTGAGATGTCCCTCTCATTTTTACCATAAACACTTGCTACTGAGACACAACTGAATGACTTATACATTGTCTATTTCTTTCATTGATACTAAGGGTGAAAAAGTGTGTGCTAACTTGCTGTACATAAGAATCTTGAGTGTTTTTTGCAATAGATTCTTGATCTGCATTATCTTTACCTTCTGACATTCTGAAGAAAGTAACTATGAATGCCTTACTACAGCATAATCGTTGCTAATCAGCATAATCTCTGTGTGGGGTTGTAGCTGCTGCTTAAAGCTGTCAGTGCATGATTGCACCTTAAGCTTAACAATATAGATGTGGAATGGAGTGATACCAGGATCTTGGGGTCCTCAAAAAGTCAAATTTGAAGGAAGTCTCAGCTTTGTTAGGTCTAACAAACATAAAATTGGCTGTGCACAAGTTCCAGTGTTCTGTCTTTGCAGTGAAAGAATATAAGATTAGATCTGCTCCTTAGACTACTCTCTTAACCTCCACTGACCTGCTGCTCAGAGACTTTCCAGCAAGAGGACTTAGCTTAATGTGTAACAGTCCTTTACATATATATTTTTATCCATTTATATTTTTCAATTCATATCTGACTCAGGAATTTGTTTGTGGAGAAACCACAGGAAAAAAAGAGAAACAGATATTGAGCAAGTAGATATTATATGGTTTAGGTGTATTCCTTGCCAATTAACCCAGTGTGTCAGGTTTTTTGATGAAGAATTGGCCCAGGCTAATATAATTGCAGGGATTAGAATTGTTTAGATTGTGGTGTGCAATCAGAAATTGAGTATTCATTTGAATTTATGTCACACTTTGTTGTAAGGGATAAATTTGAATATACAAATATGATTTGTTTTCTTTTTCTACAGAACCTCCAACTTGCTCCCCAGACCAGTTTACCTGTGCAACTGGAGAGATTGACTGTATCCCAATGGCATGGCGGTGTGATGGATTTCCTGAGTGTGATGACCAGAGTGATGAAGACAGTTGCCCCATATGCTCTGCATCCCAGTTCCAGTGTGAGAAGGGACAGTGTATTGATGCACACTTGCGATGTAATGGAGAAATTGACTGTCAAGATAAATCTGATGAAGCAGATTGTGATAGTAAGATTAGTTTTCCTGAACTCGTGGTTCTAACATAAGCATTCATTTGGGATTCTAACTGTTTTTGAAATATATAGATACAAGTCCTTTTTGCTGAGATATAGATTCCTGAAAAAAGATAAGAAATTCAGCAGTTATTTTGCAAAGTTTTATACAGGTCTACGTAAGATAGTATGGACTGCATAAGGTTTTATAATATGTCAAGTTACTACATTTTGTTAACATGTCAGTTCATCAGCTACACTTTGTTAGTTATTGAAAGACATTCTTGCTGATTTGATCTCAGTTTTGCCTCAACAGGACTGGTTTGATAAAGATAGGGATTATTGGGATCAGATTCAGAGATATGCAGACTTGCAATTTTCCTACAGCAGCAAAGCAGGTGTTCTGGTGCCCACCCGATCGTAATATAAAATGCACTGTGCCTTCATGTCTCACTTATTTCTGTTTTCTTAAGACACTGAAATGCTCCCAATGCTATCAGTACTAATCTTTTCTTTCTTTCTGTGCAGCAATTTGTCTACCCAATCAGTTCCGATGCGCAAGTGGCCAGTGCATCCTCCTGAAGCAACAGTGTGACTCCTTTCCAGATTGTATTGATGGTTCTGATGAGCTTATGTGTGGTGAGATGTCTTCTCTTGAGATTTGAGTGTTGTGTTCAGTCATAATGTCCTACATCTCTATGCAGAGTCCTGGTCTTTGCAGAGTAATATTCTTTCAGGGAAGCCTAGTGAATCAACACTACCTTCTTTAGATGGGTCTTTAGATCTGTACTTAGGGGAACTTGATTCATCTGTACTCAGTACCTTGGACTTTGCAGAGCTGCTGCTAAGCTTGGGGTGGCTTTTAAAGATGTGCAGCCCTATCCACTGCAATTACAGGGTCAAGCTAGAGGTTAATTATTTGGAGAAACTAGCATGCAATGAACAGTGTCCACAAGAGACCACAAATCAGTCTCTTAAAGTGGAGGTGGGAAAAGAATGTAAGGAGAGACCTTGAGTTTTCTGGGGAAAAATGTTAACTTTGAATTCTCACGGCAGTAGGTATGTGCAAGTTACAGACACGCTGATGGTAGTTGCTGTAATAGTCCTTAGACAGTCTGTTATTTTGCAGTTCCAAGTGGACAGTAAAATTCACTTGCTTGTGGCTTTCTTGCAGTTTCCATCTTTTTGCACTGCTGGGGTGACTAATGCATGAAGTTTTCAGATAACAGGACAGATAAAGGGAGCATTTAGTAGCGCACAAGTGGTTTAGCAAAATATTTGAAACATAGCATTTTAGAATAAAAGCAAATACATCTGTCTGTGGTTCATGATGAACAGGGTTTGTGTAGAGAAATGCTGCGCTTATGTTGCCTATAGGACCAACCTTAGCTGATTGTGAAGGTTTTAACATCTTAAGAGTCTTGTCGGATTTTGAAGCACCATGTGCCAGAAGCTGTGCCACTGCTGAGATGAGAGGAGGAGTCACCAGGTTTGGTCCAGGGCAACCTTGGTTTTTCCTTCCATCTTCATGGTGGGTACTACAAGGAAAAGTATATTTCATGGATAAGAGTGGTGAAAAGAGCCCAAGTGGTGAATAGAAACAAAGGCTAAAAGAATGGAGACAAAAGGTTTGGGAAATTTCAGACTGAACCTGCTTCTCCCCCATCTTCCATTTACCTCTCAGCTTTCACCTAGTTACCCTAATTCCCTGGGTAATACAAAGTCACTTCTTCCTTTTTTTTTTTTAAGTTTCTTTGTGCACTTGGCAAACTTTAGTGCTGCAGTTTTAATACAGCTGTTTCCTGTTTGCACTTTGGGTCCAGTCCTTCAATTAGATCTTAAATGATTTAAATGTGTCTTTATGTAGACATAAAATTGTCTCTTCTGGAGTCTCATTGTGGAACAGAGCATTCTGTGGTTTCCCACTTGACTGAGGGAAAGAACTCAAGTAGGGAATAAAAAGGATTGCTACCTCCTAGATAAGGATCTTGTATTCAAAAGAAGCTAAGTTTAACCAAAATTAGATTTGTGTGTTTTAAAATAGCTTATTTGGGAACATGTTTTCATTTTGGCTTTGTTTTTTTCTGGTGTCACAGCTGAACTAATCTGACTTTTTGAAAGTTAGGACCCTAGCTGACATAAAAGCTGTAATGTACTAATAAGTGTGAAAAGAGATAAAGATTTTAGGATAGCAATGAGTTCTTGATGCTGAGCTGTTAAGAGTTTATTTGTATTTCCTTTATATTCCTTCTCAAATTTCAGTTGTTTTTCGTTCCCTTCCACTGCAGTGGAAAACAGAACCACTGGAGAAAAATTTTGTGAAGGGAAGTTTTGAATCTTATATAAACCCTTTCACTCTTACAACTTCATTAAGTGGGGGGGGGGGATCTATAGCTTAAACTGAGAACGTAAAATTGATAGGCTTTTGACAAGTTTATTTTTATTTTTTCATTTTTTGAATATATCTATTTATGGGAATCACATGGAAAAAATCACTTTCCCTGAAGAACATTGCATATTTGAAAAACAGAGGTGTGATGTTTATCTGACAAGAATTTTTAATGTGTTACCCATAATCAGGGAGAGATACGATGTGTAGCTCATCTCAAATACTGCAGCACTTTTTATTTTTTAGCACTGGGCTATAATGGGGGGGGGAAATAACAAGTATTTGAGATACTCTGGATTGTGTTTTCCTTACAGTTTGGAAGGTGGGTTTTTTTGAAAGCAAGTCATATTTTAGGAAGGAAAAGTATTCTGGTTTAAGACCTATATTAGCTAGGAAGAGATCCACTGCTTAATACATATGGTAGCTTCCCTACTGGTAAAGTTTCAAATTTTTTTAAATGTCATTGCTAGTCCAAATGGCTTTTGAGAGAGCAGATTCCTGACTAAGGACTTAAGAAGCATCCTGTATCTTTGACCCATAGTCTTTGGAGGGAGGGAAAGAAAAGGAAACTTTATAGGTTATTGTTATATCAGGATGACAGGTAATCCTGTTACAAGATTAATTGCTAGACAAAAAGGAGAGTACTTTGCTCATACTGCTTTATGGAGGGGGGAAGGAAACATGAAGTCTTTTGCATTGAGTCAGAATATATGCCTGAATGTGATGCAGATACTTTTAAAGACACTGTGTGAATGGCTCTGAGCTGATTTGCTGCATGAGCTCCAGGACAGCAGCATATATACTGCTCCATGTTTAATGACTGACCTCCTTTGTTTTTTTTCTCCTCTTTGCAGAAAAATCAAAGCCAGCCTCAGATGAGTCACAGCCACACAGTAGTGCCATCGGTCCTGTCATTGGTATAATACTGTCACTTTTTGTCATGGGAGGAATGTACTTTGTTTGCCAGCGAGTGGTGTGTCAGCGCTATGCTGGGCCCAACAGTCCTTTTCCACATGAGTATGTCAGTGGCACCCCTCATGTCCCTCTTAATTTTATTGCTCCGGGAAGTTCTCAGCACGGCACTTTTACTGGTAAGGATGCTAAGGACCTTGCATTTAACCAGCACCATTACATTGTCTGGATTTCGAGTTTTACAGATCATTAACAGTGCCAGCTGTTGGGTTTTCAAAGAACAGAAATTAGATGTTGATCTGCTCATGGTTTTTGGATATGCAATATTGGAAACTAAGAATGCATGTGTCATTCAGTGTCCTAGTGTGAGCTCTGTGGAATTGTGCTTTGTGTCTTGTGCTCAGATGTCCTTCTGTTTGTCCTGTCCATCAGAGTTCTTTACACAGTTGTGTCCTGTCTGCTTAGGATGGGTAAATTAATCTGCAGTGGAAAGAAGAGGAGTAAAGAAGTGAAGCAGCTTAGTTTACTGTAGCAGTTTAGCTTACTGTAATATCAAAAAAGTAGGAGATAAACCTCCCCCACCAAATGTACAACAGCAAATGTGGAAGAACACAAGGAGTCTGGGTGGGGTTTTGTAGTCTGGCTGCTCATTGCCTGATGTGTAATGAAAACATCCCCTTTGGTTTAGCCTATCTCTGAGACAGCTTTGCTGTTTGCTTTTGGACAAAGTATTTATTCTCTCTCTGTCTCAGTCCTACATCTGTAAAACTGCAAAGCTTCTCTACCTTTCAAAGGATTGAAAGCATCCATTTGGGGAAGTGCATGCAGCTATGATGCTGACATTTTGAGAACTTGAAGTATAAATAAAAGCTCAGGACATTCAGAAAACAATCCAGAAACACTTAAATGATGTCCCTCATTATTTTACAAATGTAAAATATATTTTGCATAGAGGAAATAGCAAATTCTTAACTACAAAGCCATGAGAAGGAAGAATATCTCTTCATATTTTTCAGGAAGATGGAAAGTAAATATTCACCTGTAAACCTGCCAGGCAAAAAATCCATAGTTCGGAGTGCCTGCAATCTGCTTTTCATGTCAGCTGAAAATCAGATAGATGATAAATACAAATGAAAAGATGTGGCACTTCATATTAAACAGGCTTTTGAGATGTGCTAATTGTTGTTTTCTTCTGGCCATAGCTTTGAAGATAGCCAGATACAACTTAGGTTTAGCCTTTTTTGGACTTCAGTGGTGTGGTCAGCTATTCCTGCTTAACTTATGCTACTACGGTTATCAAGAGGGTTTTGTGGTAGGAAATAAAATTAGAGGATGAAATCATTGCAGGTGAAATCTTTGCAAGGATGCTTTAGATTGCACTTCACACTATAAAGCTTTTTTAATTAAAGCAAGTATCAGTGGTTTTTGTCTGTGCTTCTGTAGGTGCTAAACCAAGCTGTCATTCTGATTCTCATTCATATTTGTGAGGGTTTTTTTAATCCATATTGCTGTGACAAGTTACAATAGCTGAAAATATTACTATTTATGTTATTTCTAAAGAAAACACATAGGTTCATAATAGCATGGCATTTCCAAGAAAGATGTATAGTCATGAATGATGGTTACAAATAGATGACTCTGATTGTAATAAATATTTCCTGCATCTGAGAAAAATTCTAAAAGGTTCCAAACTAAACTCTTCCATTAGGACTGAATAGTCTGACAGGAAGAAGCTGAAAATGAATTGTCTGAATTAAGTGTACATTTGAGTAAAACAGATCACAGAATGTTCTCTTCCCTTTTCCTGTAATCCAGATTTCCTTCCTTTTGTCTCTGATGATTTTCAATTTTAGCTGTGATTATTTTCAATAAAAATAGTTGGGTTTTTCAGTTTTTCATGTACTTGAAATTGAATTTCTTGAGATGGAAATGAAAACTCTGAAGGACTCTAGCTTGTTTTCCTTGGGCATTGTATGGTACTTTTTTTTGCAAATGCCTAAGTTTGTTTAATTGGAAAATTTCGTAGTTTACAATTTGGGTGAAAAGTTTGAATCAACTGTTCTGGAGATTCCTTTCTCATCAGGGTGAGAGTAGATTGTGAAAAGTTCAGTGCTTCAGTGAGACAATAGGTGGTCTGAGGGTGGGATGTTTTCTTTACAAAAAGTGTTTTTCATGGTAATCCTGAAGTTTTTACATAAAACACTCTTCCTAAAGTGACAACCATTATCATTGCACGGGTTTGCAAAGCTGTGGATTTGTTTCATGTTTTGCATTGGTAAATCAAATTGTGGTTTATCTAACCTTGTTTTCCTGTCTGTTTCAAAACAGGCATCTCTTGTGGAAAGTCCATGATTAGCTCCATGAGTCTCATGGGAGGAAGCAGTGGTGCCCCACTGTATGACAGAAACCATGTTACTGGAGCCTCTTCAAGTAGCTCATCCAGCACTAAAGCCACTTTCTACCCACAGGTATGTCTTGAAAGTGTACTTGTGAGTTAGGTATCTCCTCCTTCTGAAGAAAGGAAAGATGAAAATTTGTGCTACCAAATAGAATGTTAAGAACTGTTATTCTTGGGTGTTACAGTTTATGATATAGAGGCTCAGTTCAACACTCAATGAACTTCACAAAAGGGCTTTGTTGTAGTCCATCAGGATTATACAGTGTTTTATGGTGTCTAAAATGTTTTGGTATTAGAATGATACTCAGCTGTTTTTTTCCTGGACATTGCTGTTCTTCCCTTGGAGATGCCACCTCCTTTGTTCTTTGTAAAGTCTGATGTCAGTGGCCCAGTGACATTTTGCACTGCATAATGCTGCAGGCACACATGGAATAATAAGGCAAACAAGACGCAACAGGACTGGAATGCAAACGCATGTGAAATAAGCTTGACTGGCTGTTTAGATAAAGTGTCAATTGTTCATTCAGAAAACCAAGTGCATACACTGAGGGAAAACACTGGTACAGCAGTGTAAAGCAGAAATTGTTTTGCTTGCATTTTTTTGCTACAAAAATTTAGCTCAATTTCTGGCTTTTAAGTGTTGGAAGTGATGGAATTTTAGTCACCATATCACATTTTCATGAATTCAAAGATGTATAGCAAGAATGGAAATTCTGTATGAATACATAGGAGAGGTACAAAAAGGTTACTGTTTGCCAGCATTTTGTCATGACAGTTTTTTTCCTTAGTGTTCCTGAGCAATACATTCGCTCTTACAGTCACACAAGCTGCCAGAGATGATCTGCCAGCTATGCAGGTGATTTTTCAGAAGTATTGAATTAGGAGCCCACATGAATGTGTGGGTATACTTGCATTTGTGTTTACTTGTAAACTATTATGCTATATGTGGGCATTTTCATTGATAGTGTTTCAGCAAGTGACAAAGGTGCTCTCTATCCCCCTTAAGAAGGACAAAGATGGAAAAGAGAGGCTTGTGAGCTTATCTGTTGATAAGGTAAAATTAGTTACTTACTTCTTGCATTGCCTTCTCTGTGAAGCCATCAAGAAGCTAGTCACAGCTAGTAGACATTTGGAACTCAGCAGCCCTTCTAATTTAGCCTGTCTCATGCTTCAGCAGTGTCTCTCTAACAAACTGAACAATTTCATGCTAGTACCCGATTGAACTGTCAGTGCCACACTAAAAAGGATGAACAGAAAAAACACTTACTTAAATAAAGCCTGAAAGAGAAAAGAAGCCCAAGAGCTGATCTGCCTGTGTGATTCTGTCTGTGTTGGCCAAAAGATCGACTGTTCCGTTTGATTTTTGGCCTAAGCTAATCTGACTGTTGCTGGGAATTCTTCTCCCATGCTTTCCACTCTGGGCTATGTCAGCCAGGGCCTTCAAGGGATGATATCAACCTTTCCTTTATGAAAGGCATGCTGGATTCTTAGAAGGAAGCTAAAGTTACATTAAAGTTACTGCTTAATCCAAATGGTGTGGTGAGTTCTGCCTGGTAGCTGATTACCCAGCTTTATGTTAATAATCAAAAGGACAGATCTGAGGACCTAGTTGTCTTGGCTTTTTCGTTTTGTTTTTTGCACATCTTTGTGTTAATGAGAGATGCTTCAGTGAATAGAGCCTGGAAAAGAATCAATGAAGTTATGCCAGTTTATATACATGTGAACCTGGCCACAGGCATCCTGGCTGACATGGTTTGCTGTATTTAATCTCAACACGAAGTGATATTGGTGCAGCTCAGGGTTTTATTAGGAGCAAATCCGAAAGTAGCATGCAGTGCTCCTCCAAGGAAGAGGATTTCTGGAAGATACTCTTGGAGCACTTACTCATTATTCCCCACACCTGGCAACAAGCTTGTCTCCTTTCACATGAATCTGGATGCAGGGCTTGTCAGTATTAGTAACAATGGGCTCAACTCAATGGTCAGGAATCATTTTGCTGCACAGTGAAGACGGAAACAATGATCTCCACTCCAGTGATTTTAGAGTATTATGATGGAAGAAAAGCAGAGATAGAGGAAGGATGGTGACTGTGGCAGGCCATGATTTGGCAGAATGCCCAGGACAGGCAGTGTACAAGATGGTCACATCAGTATGTGTGACAGCAATGGTGCAATTTTCCACACTGGAAGGGGTGAAGAAGCATTCTTCTTGGGTTTAGGCCAATGGTCTGCTGGCCATGTCAGGGGTTCTGCTTCCTGCTAGAGGAAGAAGCCTAAATTATTCTGAATCATGCTAAACTTTTTTTCTCATGTGAAGGTTACCAGCAACCAGGTATATGCACACATAGGCAGGCTATAATTATATTTTAGCTCATAGGCTTTTTGCACTGTGAACGGTGCCAAAATGATACGTTTACAGAACAGCAGTAAAAATGAAACATTCAGGGAAGGGTGGAGTTGTATTATTACAGTAAAGGAACTTGGCTTCCTGACCCTATGACTGGGGTATGTTTAGGGGGCTGGGAGTGAAACATACTTTTTTTCCCATTAGCATCTGCTGAGGATGCTACCAGTCCTTATGTCCAAGTAAGTGCACTGAGATTCAGCAAAATTGGGTCTAATTTCCAGCTTTACTCCAGCCTTCCAGCGTAATAACGGATATGGCAAAGAAGAAAGTACCCTGTACTTTGAGAACTTTGAAGGTCTGCACTGTACCTAAGTATAAAGTAAAGCCTTGTAATGAACTCTGATCTTTAAAAATGCATTAACCCATCCAAGCAGCAAGGAGAGGAAACTAGAATAAGGATGAGTGACAGGGTCAAGGCATAAATAATATTTTCAAACTAAATAAAGTTGTATAATTAACCCAAAATTTCACACTTCTTTTTCTTCTTCTTCCTAGATCTTGAACCCACCTCCTTCCCCAGCTACTGATCGCTCCCTGTATAATGCAGAGATGTTTTATTCCTCAAACATTCCTTCAAACACAAGATCATACAGGTAAAGTTTAGATAAAAAGGTTTACCAAATTTTCTATTGATCTGCCTTTAGTTTTAGATCCTAAGTAATATGTTCTTGTTCAGACATGACTTTCTTTAAAAAATCCTTTTCCTCTTAATAAATGACCATTCATATTATGTATGTTATATTGCTGTGCAACAGTCACTGACCATCCTGTATAGAGAAGGTTGGTGTTCTCTGTCCATTTCTTCAAGCTTTTCTTAAAACTCTTTGATAAGTCTTGAGGATAAGCCTGAATATATATATATAAAAATATAAATAAGCCTGTTTCTTAGTGACTGGGCTAAATGGTCATGGTGGTCTCCTCAGGCAGATTGGGGGCTGGAAGAATGTGCTGCTGGCTGAGGATACTTATACCATTCAAATTTAACACAGTTCAGATACTTCCTGTTGGATTGCTCTGAAAGCCTGAATTAAGGCTCACATAGTATTAGTGAGCAGGCATCTTGACTGAACACACAGAGCTGTTCATTTTCAATCTCTTTTTTTTTTCCTCAGATTGCAACTAATGCATGTGCTTTATTTTCTTTTCTTTTTCTTTTTTTTTTGCAGGCCGTACCTTATACGAGGGATAGCTCCACCCACAACCCCGTGCAGCACTGATGTTTGTGACAGTGACTATACTACCAGTCGATGGAAGGCCAACAAATACTATATAGATTTAAATTCAGACTCAGATCCTTATCCCCCTCCGCCCACACCTCGCAGTCAGTACATGTCGGCAGAAGAAAGTTGCCCTCCGTCTCCTGCCACGGAACGAAGCTATTTTCACCTCTATCCCCCTCCACCCTCTCCTTGTACAGACTCTTCATGACCTCAACAGAAGGAACTTTTCCTGTAAATATTTTAAAATATGAACAGATTTAAAATATATATTTTATGATTTAAAAATAAATCTGGGTGGGAATTAAACAAAACTAAATGTGAATAAAAATGGGTGGGAGGGATGGGGCTGTGAAAAATTGTACAGAGGAAGAATATTTATAAAATTGATTTTTTTAACTTAATTTCCATTCTTTTGTGCCATATTTGCCTTTTTGAAGTCATGTAACTGACTCGGTCTCCAAAGGATTTGGGGAGGGAATGTTGAGACTTTCTGCATTTTTAAGTCACCTTTTTACATGCAAAGTTTATGTAGTCCTTTTTATTAATGTGAAACAAGAAAACAAAGTGGCTTGTGAGAGGAGGAGGTGTCTAAAGAAAGATGCATGTTTATCTGTAGAGAAGTAATACACATTTAAGTACAATTAATGTCAATATCATCCCTTCACCACCACTGGGAGAAAACATGCATGATCACAGCCCTTAGATGCTCCTGTTTGCGAGTGAGCTGAATGCTTGCCAGCAGAACTTGTGTGCCAAGACCTGAATTTTAAACCTCCTTCTGCATTTGCTTAAGCATTGAACTGAAAGAACTCTTCTTTTGGCCAAAACCTTCCAGCTTAACTAAACCCACAGGCATCATGTCCTACCTCATGTCAGTACCACTCTGCACATGACCAATTCTGTAACTGATTTAAGTTAAATAAGATAACCAGTCCTAAAAACCTTTGTTTAGTTCTGATCAGTTCTCCACTTGTCTGGGTGAATGGTAGCAGAAGCAGTTGTATTGATCTGTGGGTGAGAGCAAAGGTCAAGTTTAAGGTGGTATTTAAGGGAAGAGAAACGCCCAATAAACTGCAGATTTGGTCAGACTCACCATTTTAAATGTAATCAAACCAAGCTCCTTCATCCTTCCTTGTGAAACTCTGATGACTGTCTGGGAAGAGGCTGAAATAGTCAGCTGGTTCTCAAAAGACAGTGCTAGTTCTCTTTTTCCCAGAAGTCCAGTAATCACTCTGCCAGGTCTCTGAGATATTCACCGGTGTTGATTTGATCAGAGAATTGCTTCATCTCTTAATGTCCATTTTCCAAGTGGAATTATCACTTGTACTCACATGAGGAAAGTTGTTTGAGTTTTAATCAGTGTTTGTAGAAAATGGTATCTGCATAGCTCAAATTAAAAATGCATTCGAACAGTTTAGTCATATTCCACAGAAATTTGCCACGTAATTCAGATTTAGAAATAGACAAAAAAAAAGAACAGAGGGAGAAAAGACAAATACTCGTTTACCCTTTGTGTTGAAATACAAAAGATGAACTCTAATACAAACTGTTGTAACCTAAGGACATCAAGATCAGCAAAGTGCTTGTGTTCCCAACTCCTAGCAAAAAAAATCACTTTGGGAATGGGGGAGCTAGGATCAGTCCCTTTCAAATTCAGAAGATAAATTGTTGCTTTGATTGCTCTTTTGCTGTAGCAAAAGGGATTGGTTTTTGTTATGGCACTTTATAAATTCAGCACTGGTAATGATAATGTGAGTGCGTCCTTGGGACATCTGAGGGAAGTTCTGAATATGCAAACTTGCACCTGTTTCTGCAGCTGCTGAATAACAGATGCGTTGGGCCTCTGACAGCTTTAATATTGACGGCAAAAATGAAAAGTTTTCTTGTTTGAACTTAAATTGTAACTTGGTTTTGGGTCTTTTTAGCAAGTTACTTGAGAGCACATCAGAGAAACCCTACAACTCTGGGAGAGAGGTCTTTGTTGTGGTGGTGGAAGGGCTGGGACCACAGTGTTCTGATCTAGTTTGTGTTTATTACTCCAGATCTGTTCTTCCTGTCTGTATAGTACAAGGATAGGATTTGTGCTGTCACTGACTGCTGTCAGTGAAGCTCTTAAAGTAGGTTTTACTATCTTATCACTAAATTTTTCCTTGAGAAATTAAGCACAAAGAAGATGTCCATGGTTTTTCATAGAGAAAAGTACAGAAAGGGAGAATACAGCACTGGAGTTTAAGAATGGATTCTTTCCTCATCCCCTATGAAGATTAGTAATTTTGTAGTATGCCATGATGGACAAGATCATAGTTTGTTCTTGGAGTGACTTGGTACATCTCTGAACTAGTGGTTTGGTGAAAAAAAGCAATTCTCACATGATCATGTTTCAATTAACTAAATTAGGAATATAGATGCACAGAATATTTTATGAACCACAACAGTCATATAAGAAGGTATTTGTTCTGCATTACAGCAGTTGGTAGTCCAATATCATCTCATATGTAATTTTCTGCATGATAACTATTCACTGTTTATAATGAATTCATTAGTTGTTTTGTGTTACAATTCTAGCTTAGAGAAATACCACATTAATTTTCCTGTATTCCTGTGATGACACTGGATGCAAAATTACTTCAATTTTTTTTTTCATTAAACCACTGATCTTTTTTAAGAGCCACAATTATAACAAGCATAACCACTTCATCTGAAGACTTGTATCCTATTACAAACCTTGGAATTGAGTCCAAGGAAATTATCATTCTTGCTGAAAGCTAAACTCTCTTAAAAGTCACATTCTTTTGGACCTTAAGTGTTCAGAAGGAAGGAAGCATTTGCTGAATGGGATAAATTAAGTGTACATTTTTATTTCAGTTGAACATTCATAGCCTCTTGCTGCTGATGTTTGCTGAGAAATTCCCTCCTCCGAGGCACCTGAAGTTTGGTGAACAGAATCTAAGCCCCATATTGCTCCATAATACTGACATTAAAAGCCTCTTCCAAAAAAGATTGTATACAAATTTAGCATCTTAACATTTAAATACTAAATACTAGATTTGATTGCTGTAGACTGCTGCTGCACTGTAGAGTGCAGTAGATTACTGCAGTCCTTATGTTAGAAAAGACGAGAAAGAAAATTTGAGTGACAGGAGTGACTTCTCTCCAGAAATAACTCCACTGTGTACTTAATGGTTTCTATCCTGTGAGCTTTCAGACTAAAACATAGAAAATAGGTGCTATTTTCTAGATCAGGATGAGAGAAAGAGTTGCAGGGAATTAGTGAATACTTATGACAAGTTGTAGCAGTTCAGGGATGAATGGGAAATATGGGAGGGGAAAGTTGTATTTTTGTAAGGTTTAAGCATAGTTTTATTAATGCAAAAGTTTTCTGTGAGAAAGTGGACTGAAATATTCTGAGAGTTCTACCCTAAGAACCTGCAGGAGGTGCATGTAATTTGACTACCTGTGTGAGCTTGTGAGTACTTGAATCAGTGTTTTCAACCACTATTTTCCAAGCCCGTTATGACTGCATATTAGCACTTGGAACAACTCACAGTGTGGTACAGAATGGTGTCTGCAGAGCAGCTAGTAATGGACAAATGATATGATTGACTCTGTTTACATTTAAAGGAGAGATGTCCTAGCAGAGAGCATCTTACCTGCCTTCCAGTGCGGTCAGGAAAGCAGCCACTTGGTCATCTTCTCTTTTGTGGAATTTGTCCTGTCTGCAGGGCAGGTGTAGCAGCAGTGTGGAGCTATAGGTAAATGGACAAGTAATCATCTTTGACAGTGAAGTATTCTTTAATTCCAAGGAAAGTTTTCTGTAAATTGTCACAGAATTATGGCTTGACTTTAGTTCAACTGGACTGGTCAACAGCTGCTGCACCTTTAAATTTGCAGTGGAGGTAATGAGTTTGTTCATTATTGCTGGATGAGTTTGAGGAAATGTCACGAGCACTATCCCAGCTGTTTTACTTAGACTTCTCCTGTCTGGACAGATCGCTAAAGAGCATTTAGTCTAAGATTAAGCTAAATCTGTATGTATGACAAATAATGTCTTCTTCAGGATAGCGTCAGTACAAAATGCTCCATGTCTAAAAATGAGATTGTGTCATTATCAGCATATTTTAAAGAGGAAGGCAAAAAAGAGTAGAAAAAATTATTTTGAAATAAAGGCTTTGATTTTCAGTAATAAACCTTCATTTCTGTGGTTTGCAAAGGGTGCAAGCACTTCCCTAAAAATTCTAATTCTTTTCAAAGTAACAAAAAAATGGTCTCTTCTTTCGATACTTGTTCTATACACTTAGGATGGGCTTTCTGGAAATCTCCAGGCCCATTTACCCTAGATCTGTTCTCCATCTGGTGTCTAGAAGGTCATATGCAAGATCTAGGACTCACCATATTCTCCCCATTTTATGCCAACTGGTGCCTCTTGGATTCTGGGTCTTTTGACATTCTGAAGCTCTGTACACAGCAGTGAAAAAAGATTTGGAAGCAGGAGTACTCAAGTGAGGGCTGGTCACGCTGGACTGATGTCATTCCTCCATTGTCTGCAGGGTCAGATCCCTCTGCTAGGGAGAGCTCTTGTGCTGCTCTTCATCGGAGCCTCTAAAGCATATTGTACTACTTTACAAGTGTGCAGAGTTAAACTTCACAAATGTTGTGTGTCCTTTTTGCTTCGAGCATTTTTGGAAGCAGATTTTTTATGTCAGTCATTTTGTTGGGGTTTATGTTAAGTCAGTCCAAATGAGTAGCTGTGCTTACAATTGTACCACAAGTGATATCCATTAATGTCAGGAAATGAAAACAGAAGGCAAGCATGTTCCCAATAATTAATAACACACAAGATTGCCTGGCACGGAGCCCTGAATTGGAAGTAACATATTTGCTCTTAACAGTGCTGAAGGGCATTTTGTAAACATCCATGCCTGGACAGAGCCTTAGACAAGCCACTGTCAAAGATGATAACTGTTTACAGATCAGTCATTTGGTTGTTTCTATGTTTGTTATGACTCCATTATGAATTATGAGTACAGTCTTCACTGTAAATTTGGCTCATTGGTAGAAGATTCACTGAAGGCTGAATCCTAAACTCTGAGAGGTGTCTGCTGTTTCTGCTGCTGTTCCCTTAGGTACTGCAATACTTTCTTATCATCATTATATGTAAAACTCCCCTTCTTCAGCTGTTGTAACTTTAGCTAAACAGCTTAGGAGATTTACTACATGTTAAAAGAAATACTAATATACATAGATATTTTCAATCCTGTCAGGTCTTCTACCTCTCCTCCTGAGAACACTCCAGTTTTTGTAAAGGGTATCTTCCTTTTAGTTGTTTATTTTGAGGTTGGCCAACTGTGCTGTGGGCCTTTTCACAGTGGATCATACCCCTGTAGGGAAAAAACTGGAAAAGGAAAACTTTATTTTAAATCAATGTTAAGCCTGCTGATAGGAATGATGGAAACCAGTCTGACGTGTCTTCTGCATCCCACAACAAAAGCCTTCGAAATGCGTTGTCGTGACACACTGACAGTGCTCCCAGCCACCTGTGACAGCAAGCTGCCACATCCTGGCTGTTCCCAGCATGAACCACAGCCCTTGTTGCAGCCCACCACTGGAGTCAGGGACTAGGTTCTCACCAGCCAACACAGAATCCTGGTGGATAGAAGACCACAATGGCTATTCCTAAATGGTCATTTTATATTGACAAAATACAGGCAGATAATGAGCTTAGAAGGACTTATCAGAGGAGAAAAGTGAGTTTGACAGCTACAGTGACAGACTGATTCACTGACATTGACACCTTTGAAAAGCAAGTACTCCCACTGATGCACCTCCCTGTAAATAAGAATAATGCTACTGTTGTGACAGCATTCCTGGGGTAGCTGTGTATGACAAAGGGAGCAATATTCCAGTTTGCTTTGTACCGAGATCCTGCAGTCTGTAAATAGGTGTAAATGGAATTCATCAGCCTGTGGAGATAAAACAAAAGCTCTTGAAAGCAGGAGAACTGCTTTGCTGTTGTACGGGAAATTTGGAGGGCATCATAAACAAAACTCTAACCTAGACCGCTTTCTTACTTACCTACTTGTATCGCAATTGCTGCTATTGTAAATGTACAGGAATATACAAAGAGTACCAAGAATTTTTATGATATAACCAACACATAATCTTTTTATATTTATATTAAAATGTGTATTCTGCAAACACCCTAATAATTACAGCTTTATTTGTGTATCATTTTGTAGCATTTGTTACCTCAAAAGACAACCAAACCCAATACTTCAGTGCCTTGTGTATTTTAAACAGATTAACGTATAAACTAGGGGGAGAAAAGTATATTGTGCTCCACTGGTTTTAACAGAGCTTTGTGTCATTGTTAGGGTTCTCTTCAGTTAAAATACATACAACCACAAGTTGCGGAACTAACTGAAAGCTTACAACTTTGGAGATTTTTAGAGCATGCATGTTTTGAATTTGTAATATATTGGAATTTCTCTCAAGTGCATTCTTTCAAGTTAATTTTGATTTATATACTCATATCTATTTCAACAGAAATCCCAATACCTGTCAAAAATACGTAGCATTTTTTAAAATATAAATTCCAGTAACTGATACTTATGTATTTGGGGGTTAAATTAACGCTGGTTTCAGCTCATCACCATTTTCATCAGAGCCATAAAATCTTCATTGTGTTACAGAAAGTCTTTATCAATTATTTTTCCAAGCATAGTCTTCTAGCATACAAACGACTTGGTAATACTGTTGTAAAAAAAAAAACTTCTTTGAGGCTGTCATCACCTCAGATTATCCTACGTTAACAATTTTCTGGTCATGAAACTGCAATGTTTCTTTATGTTAACAAAACCAAAGGCTTGTTTGAAGTAACTGGTATTTTGTATAAATATTTGTACAGATAACAGACTCTGTATTTGTACTATAGATTATGTGGATTTTGTTTTATAATAAATACTTTAAAAAGATTTGGTTAGCAGCTCTTTTTATGAGCAAAGCTGTTTCATCACCTACAGTAGAGACAACCAGCCATATCATAATTGTTTTAGATACCATTTAAGATATGGGTAGTGTTGCTGTCTCCTCGGTTTAAATTTTAAAATGTACAACAACAGCAAGAGCAGAAGAGTGAAGAGGGTGACTGGAAAATGAATCACCTTTAGAATTACAATTGTTAGCTAGCTAAAGAACTTACCACAAGTTTGTTAGCATCATGACCTATAAAAATTGTTACACTCCGTAGGAACAATCTCAAGTGTTTTGAGTAGACCAGATCTGATCTGTATTTCCTTTTTAATTGTATGCTATCTTTTAAACGAATGCTATAGGATGTCAAAGTAAACCTTTTAACTAGTGGCTTCTCTTTTTCTGTGGTGAACGTACTTGAAAACTGGTTTCATGGGTCTAGTTTAGTCTTGATTTCTACGGTCAATATTGGTGGTCTCAGACTTGTGAGATTTACTGTTTAACCTTGAAGTCAAAACAATTTTCAATGGAGATATCCTTTTCCCTGCATGGTGGTTAGATTAAACTTAGAATGAAGCCTTTCTGAACAGTCATCAGCAGTCCTGGTGATGTCCAGTTCCATTTCTTTGGCCTTTTCCAGAGTAGAAAAAATTTTAGCATACAAATTCAGGGACATGCCTGTTTCCTACAAAATTCTCTCAGTTTTGTATTGTACTGAACTAGGAAATGTCAAGAGATTTTTCCTCTTATCCATGTTATCCTTGCTAATAAAGCTTAATATAAATGGACCCGGGAGCCATCATATAATGACAACCTGACCCTAGTGGTTTATACTGTCGCTGTGATTAAGATGCATTTGTAGTTTGTAGGAAAAAAACTAATAATCTGAAGTTCCTGTGCTGTGTACAGCCTTCCATCATCCTGTTGTGTTATAAAAGTGGGACCAAATTACCCAGAAGAACAGAAAGCTTTTTGGGATTTCGTATGGCATGAAGCAGAACTTGTGGCTGTAGCTGGGCTTTCTCTCCTGAAAAGATGCACAAGGACTTTGCCTCTTGGAGTGGACCCTGTCTGACATAGTGGCTGGTTGCAGAGAGGTGTGTGATACATGTATCCCACACAAGGAATACAGATTTCTGCACAGCATACCTAACATTCCTGTTCCTCTAGTGCCTTAATCCAAGATGTTTTTTGAAAATGGAGGAGGCAGTATTTTCTATTTGCTCCAGAAAAACTTGCTCAGTTGTCTGACTGGATTTTTGTAGTCTTACACTCCCACAATTTACAGATTCCTTAATGTATTAATTGGGAAATAAAGCTCTGATATATCATTGTCTGAATGGAACCTAAATACATTCCCAGGACCAAACCTGCAGTCACAGGGAAGGATGCCTAATTCTAAATCCACTGGTCCTGATATTGTACAAAATTGCCCCAGCTGTTACTGTCCATGGCAGGGCAGGTAAGGTGTTTGGTTGATTTTGTGCAGCATCACCAAGGATTCAAGTGAGTAACTAATTGCATCTGGATGTGCTAGGAAGTGGCTTAAGTGGTTGAAATGCATTCTATCACAGCATGGGTGACTCACAGCTGTGCTGAGGAAAAGCTTGGTCCTGACCTATTCAGCTATACCGATCTCCTTCCATGCTTTATGGCAGCCTCAAAGCAACCTGGAGTGAAAGGCTGCACATCAGAGCAGTGTCGAAGCTATCTGTGTTACAGACCCTAAAAAGGATAATTAGACACGAGTGATGGGTTGACAGCTGCCCACCAAGCTGCTCTATCACTCCCCTTCTCATCAGGATGAAGGGAAGAGAAAATAAGATGGAAAAAACCCTCATGGGTCAAGATAAAGGCTGTTTAATAAAGCAAAACCAAAGATCATACACAGAAGCAAAGGAAAACAACAAATATCTTCTCTACTTCCCATCAGCAGGCAATGTCCTTCTGCTTCCCTGAAAGTAGTGCTCAAGTACACATGGCAGTTGCTCCAGAACACAATCATCATCAATGACTAATGCCCTCCCTTCTCTTCTTTTCTCTTAGCTTTTACTGCTGAGCAGACACCATATGGTATGGAATATCCCTTTGCTCGTTTGGGGGATGTTCCCTCCCAAGATCTTGCCCACCCCCTAGCCTTATAGTGAGGGGGAGAATGCTGGAGAGACAGCCTTGATGCTGTGGGAGCTCAGCAGTTGCCAAAACATAGGGGTGTTACAAATACCTTTGCAGCTGTCAATGCAAAACACAGCACTGAGAGCTGATATGGGGAAAATTAACTTCATCTCAGCCAGACCCAATAAAATGAGGTAACTGTGGCCACATGTTGCCAAAAAGCCCACATAGAGTTATGGGAAGAAGAAAATTCTTCCTGCAAAACTAATGCTTTTTAGGACAGGTACTCCCCAGATGTTTGCTTTTCAACCACCTATGCTCTGAGTGGTTTTACTCAGGTTGTCCTTTGAGTGAGAGGCCAGGAGATGGTGGGGTGGCCTTTTGGGCAGTGCATGCTGCTGTGTAGAGCATGGTGAGGGAAGGCAATCAAACACACAAGCTCTCTGGTTTCTGCGTGAGAGACTCACTGCAACAGGCTGCCCACAGCCCTGCAAACAGCACAGGGCACTACACAACACAGCCTTCTATTGACCAGTGCAGGTGGTTGCTGGAATCTGCTCAGAAAGTAGACAGGAAGAGGGTTGGTGTGCACAGGAGCCAATGCTGTTGTGGTTTTAGGCATCACGAAAGGGCCCCTGTCTATAATTAGGACTGGAGACAAAGGTAGTGTTTGAGAAATGAAGGCTTGATGAGCCAGGCTAATTGCTGGACACTGAATATATTGCAGAAATGAGGCAAGGATAGTAACTGCAAGGGGGATTGCCAGATCAGCTGGCTAAAATCATAGCTACAGTGGAGATTAAGACAAGCAATTTACTTGGGTCTGCCCAGTTTGGGTTTTGATGGATTCCTCATGGAACACAAGAGCTGGAAGAGGCATGGGAGGGAGAGGATAAGGTCTTGAATTTCCTCTTGCAGTTAGAGACTGGTCTCCTGTCTGCAATTAACATGAATAGTAGGCTTGAAGCTAGAGTTGGCTTTTGGGATAGAAAAATATCAACAGTTTATATATATTCTGGACAGCCTGTAAAGACAGGATCTCAGCTTTCCCTAATTATTTTAATGCCTTCTGTTACAATTTCCTGAAGGCAGAGCTGCTTTGGCAATAAATCTGATTTAAGGGGTAGCAACAGCTTAAACAATCTATTACATAGAGAGTGATGTTTTTTACTGAACTACTCGAGGACTAGATGGGTATAAGAAGGACTCACGAGAACAGCAACAATGCTTTCTCTTGTATTTTAACTTGGCTTATCAGGTTATTGTTACAGGTTTAATTAGGACTTAATTCTTAGATGATTTCTCTCATAG